ATGATCATAAAGCGCGCCGTTCCGGAAGCTTTTCGGGGCGGCGTATCCGATGAGGTAACTTTGGCTAAAGATTTCCTTGCCGAAATTGAGAAGCGTTTTGCAAAAAACGATAAGGCGGAAACAAGCACGCTTTTAGCTAGCTTGATTTCCATGAAGTATAATGGCAAGGGAAACATAAGGGAGTACATCATGGAGATGTCGAACATTGCTTCTAAACTTAAGGTTTTAAAGCTCGAGTTGTCTGATGACTTACTCGTGCATTTGGTGTTGATCTCTCTTCCTGCACATTTCGGTCAATTTAAGGTCAGTTATAACTGTCAAAAGGAGAAATGGACTCTTAATGAGCTCATTTCGTATTATGTGCAAGAAGAAGAGAGGATGAAGCAAGAGAGATCTGAAAGTGCTCATTTGGCAAGTACCTCAAAGGGTAAGGGCATAAAGAGAAAGTTGGATAAAGCTGCTAAGGGTCCGGTGCAAAAGAAACCAAATGAAGAAATTAAAGGTTGTTTCTTTTGTGGAAAGCCCGGACATCAGAAGAAAGAATGTACCAAGTATGAAGCTTGGCGTGCCAAGAAAGGTATGTTCTTTACTTTGGTCTGTTGTGAGGTTAATTTAGCTTCAGTACCTAGAAACACTTGGTGGTTAGATTCCGGTGCTACTACTCACATAAGTGTTTCTATGCAGGGTTGCCTGAGCTGCCGAAAGCCAAGTGATGGTGAAAGATACATCTATGTGGGCAATGGAATATCGGTAGAAGTTGAAGCAATAGGGCATTTTAGATTATTATTAGGAACTGGTTTTTATTTGGATTTGAAAGATACTTTTGTCGTACCGTCTTTTCGACGGAATTTGGTTTCTATTTCTAAATTGGACAAGTCTGGTTATTTTTGTTCTTTTGGAGATAATAAATTTAATCTTTCTCTAAATTCAAGTATTGTTGGCACTGGTTCGTTATGTGTTTATGACAATCTTTATATGCTTGAAACTATTGCGTCATATAATGAAACTTTGCATGTGGAATCACGTGGTACTAAACGTAAGCTTAATAAAGAAAATTCGGCTAAATTATGGCACAAGCGTTTGGGTCATATATCCAAATCAAGAATTGAACGACTTGTGTCACTAGGTATTTTGGATTCACTTGATTTTTCAGACTTAGAAGTTTGTATTGAGTGTGTTAAGGGAAAACAGACCAAACATAAGAAATTAGGTGCCAATAGATCTTCGGATGTCTTAGAATTGATACATACTGACATTTGTGGACCATTCCCTAAGGCTTCTTGGAATGGTCAACGATATTTTATATCATTCATAGACGATTATTCACGTTATGGGTACCTATATCTTATGCATGAAAAATCTGAGGCATTGGACATGTTCAAAAGTTTCAAAGTTGAGGTGGAAAATCAACTCAACAAGAAAATTAAGTGTGTTAGATCTGATCGTGGTGGTGAATACTACGGCAGATATGACGGTTCGGGTGAACAACGTCCAGGGCCATTTGCTATTTTCCTAGAGGAATGTGGAATTGTCCCACAGTACACCATGCCGGGTTCTCCTAGCATGAATGGTGTTTCTGAAAGACGAAATAGGACTCTTAAGGATATGGTAAGGAGTATGATTAGTCATTCTACCTTGCCAGATTCACTCTGGGGAGAAGCAATAAAAACAGCAGCGTACATCCTAAATAGAGTACCAACTAAGGCAGCTGCAAAAACACCTTACGAGCTTTGGACCGGGCGAAAGCCTAGTCTTAAGCATTTTCATATTTGGGGTTGTCCATCTGAGGCTAAGCCTTATAGGCCAAATGAAAAGAAATTGGACTCCAAAACAGTTAGCAGCTATTTTATTGGTTATTCTGAGCGATCTAGAGGTTACAAATTTTATGATCCCACTACGAAATCAATTTTTGAGACGGGTAATGCAGTATTTTTTGAGGATGTTGAGTTTGAGGGGAGAAATAAGGTTAGAGATATTGTCTTTGAGGAGGAATCAAATACGATTCCTACTTCTGTTTCTGACAGTGTACAGGTTTCTTTACCTATCATTGTTCGAGAGGCAGATATGGAACCTCACCAAGACAATATTGAACAACTTCCCACTCAAGTTGAGGTAGTTATTCCTGAAGAACAAACTCAACAACCTCAAGAACAAGTGCCAATAAGGAGATCCACGAGAGAAAGGAGAAATGCTATTCCGGATGATTATGTAGTATTTCTCCAAGAACATGAGGACATAAATGGATTCGTGGAAGATGATCCAATCAACTTCCACCAAGCCATGCAAGATTCTAACTCTCAAAATTGGATTAATGCCATGAATGAAGAGTATAAGTCTATGCAAGACAATCAAGTTTGGGATCTTGTCCCATTACCTGAAGGAAAGAAACCCATTGGTTGTAAATGGATATTTAAAACCAAAAGGGATTCGAAGGGTGATGTGGAAAGATATAAGGCTCGTCTTGTGGCTAAAGGCTTTACTCAAAAGGAAGGCGTTGACTTTACAGAGACTTTCTCTCCAGTTTCATCGAAAGACTCTTTAAGGATAATGATGGCTCTTGTTGCGCATCTTGATCTTGAGTTACATCAGATGGATGTTAAGACGGCTTTTCTCAATGGTGACATTGAAGAAACAATATATATGGTGCAACCAGAAAACTTTGTGTTTGGTGATCCAAAGCATATGGTTTGCAAACTAAAGAAATCCATCTATGGGCTCAAGCAAGCTTCTCGTCAGTGGTACCACAAATTTCATCAAGTAATTGCCTCATTTGGTTTTGAGTCAAATATTGTTGAAGATTGTGTATATCACAAGTTCAGTGGGAGTAAATTTGTGTTTTTGGTTTTATATGTCGATGACATACTTCTTGCAGCCAACAATAAGGAAATGTTGCACGAAACTAAGAGATTTCTATCAAAGAAATTTGAGATGAAAGATCTTGGTGAAGCTTCTTTTGTATTAGGAATCCAAATACATCGAGATCGATCTCGAGGTATTCTAGGATTATCTCAAAAGAGCTATATAGAAAAAGTGCTTAAAAGGTATGGCATGCAGGGAAGTAAACCAATGGATACCCCGATTGCCAAAGGTGATAAATTCAGTCTCGAGCAATGCCCTAAAGGTGACCTTGAAGTTAAGAAAATGCAGGAGATTCCCTATGCGTCTGTTGTTGGGAGTCTTATGTATGCTCAAGTTTGCACACGTCCGGACATAGCATTCGTTGTAGGAATGCTAGGAAGATATCTAAGTAATCCTGGGATGGATCATTGGACAGCAGCAAAAAGGGTTCTTAGGTACTTACAGAGAACTAAGGATTATATGCTCACATATAAAAAGTCAGAACAGTTGGAGATCATTGGGTATTCTGATTCTGACTTTGCTGGATGCCAAGATAGTAGACGATCCACTTCGGGCTACATTTACCTATTGGCTGGGGGAGCTGTATCTTGGAAGAGTGCCAAGCAGACACTCGTGGCTTCCTCCACTATGGCAGCGGAATTTGTAGCGTGTCATGAGGCATCAAATCATGGATTATGGCTGCGAAACTTTGTCACCGGGCTGCGTGTTGTGAATGGTATTGAAAGACCATTAAAGATATATTGTGACAATAACTCAGCGGTTCTATATTCCAATAACAATAGGAGCTCTTCTAAGTCAAAGCATATTGACATAAAATTCCTAGTTGTGAAAGAAAGAGTACAAAGTGGTCAAATTTCTATAGAGCACATTGGAACAAACTCCATGGTTGCGGATCCCCTTACTAAGGGAGTAGCACCAAAGGTCTTTCATGGGCATACTGCTCGTATGGGTGTTATACCACTTAAGGATATCATGATTTAGTGGGAGTTTGTATTTTTATACATTTTTGTGCTTTAGTTACTTTTGGATAATATTTTCGTATTTGAACATTTTCTGCAGAAATAAAGTATTCAGTTTATTACACTTTGTATATTTAGGTTAAGGTTGATCTCAATTAAGTTTAAGTTGGGACCAGTTGAAAATAGGCATGTTACGATCACATTACATGTAATTTTCATGCTACACACCATAACTTGATCTATGTCATTTGGTTATTTTGGTATGTGTGACTACTGTTGGGTTTAGCCACGCTCAATGTGGCGAAAGCTTCTTTAATCCCATATCAGTATGATCAATGGACGAGATTGTTAAAGAATACCCTATTATATGATAGCAATATTTGACGTCATAAAGTGTACACATTTATAAAGAAGTTAACATATGTGGCCCAAGTGGGAGATTGTTGGAATTATTTCAATAATTATATGGGCTCACATATGTAATTAAATGTGTATGGCTATCTATCGGATAATCTAATTTAAAGTGATTAATTAAAGTTATTTGGGCTAGATTAATGGGTATTGGACCAATGTTGTGGGCCCAATGTGTAGAGACAAATAAAGTACAATTAGGGTTTATTGATGGGGCTGAACCCTAATTGTAATCCTATATAAAGGGTCGTGGTCCCCAAAGAAACACATCATTCCTTCTCTACTGCTAATCCATCGATCAGAAGAGAAAACAAGAGGAACTGTGTATTCTTTGGAAGACCGACTCTCTTCCGACTTCCAAGGTTCTATGGATTCAGGTACGCTTCCGCTTATTCGTTCTTGTTCTTTTCGATTGATGCTTGATGGTCTTGGGATTTATTCGAGTATATGCGAATTAATTCTAACAAAAATCCCATCCCCCTAATATTGTAGCTAGCTGGCGAGGCGCCAACCAAATTGAAGTGTGTGGTGGACCCATTTTGGCATAAGCCGCGTAGTTATATGATCTCATTCAAAGTCTCATTCCAGCTTCAGAGCTTCTATTCCAGCTCATTGTTATCCAGCTCATACCCTTTTTGGCATAGAATATTTGACCCCCACCCCCACACCGGCCCCCTCCTCCTATATATATATTCATAGCCTCCATGCATGACTATCATCGATCACCAAATACAAGAAATTCTTAATATTTTCCTTCTCTCTATCAGCTGAACGTACACTAGAAAAAACAAAAACAATGGGAACTTGGGGGATCTCATTATTCGTTTTATTGGCCTGCTTGGTGGCTGCAGCCCCTTCCACCGCTAACTTCATCAGAGACGCAGAGATAACATGGGGAGACGGCCGTGCTAAGATAGTGGACGGTGGCCGTGGCCTGTCACTATCACTAGACCAGTTCTCCGGCTCTGGTTTCCAGTCCAAGAATGAGTACTTATTCGGTAGATTCGACATGCAACTCAAACTCGTCCCTGACAACTCTGCTGGCACTGTCACCACATTTTTCGTAAGTCTTCAACTCGTTAAATAATTTCTTGAGTTTCCGTTTTTCTTTTTATATATATTAATATAATTTGCATGATGATGATGATGATGATGCAGTTATCATCTCAAGGAGAAGGGCACGACGAAATAGACTTTGAATTCTTGGGTAACTCCACCGGCGAGCCGTACACAGTACACACCAACGTCTACGCGCAAGGCAAAGGAGACAAAGAACAACAATTCAAGCTCTGGTTCGATCCCACTGCCGCTTTCCACACCTACTCCATCGTCTGGAACCCACAACGCATCATGTAATTTTTTTCACAAACACCTTCCTCCGTACAATCTCATCATATTAACAAACCTCACTTAATTAGTTTCTAACAAAATATTTAAATTTCAGATTCTTGGTGGACAACAGCCCCATCAGAGTATTCAACAACCACAAAGCCAGCGGAGTGCAATTCCCCACGAGCCAGCCGATGAGAGTGTACTGCAGCCTGTGGAACGCGGACGATTGGGCAACGCAAGGCGGGCGGGTCAAGACTGATTGGGCCAAAGCTCCGTTTGTCGCAAATTACAGGAATTTCAAGATCGAATCTTGCGCGGCAGGTACACCGTGTGCTTCTCATGAGCTGGATTCAAATGGCAGAAACAGATTGAGATGGGTCCAGCAGAAACACATGTTGTACAACTACTGCGCCGATGCTACCAGGTTTCCTCTCGGAACTTCCATTGAGTGCAAGCGCTCCAGGTTCTGATATATAGTGATCGATCCGGCATATCTCAAATCATTATTCTTTTAATTCTTTCTTCATATATTCAATAATGATGTTGAGGCTATGCATGTGGGTTCTGTTTTGGTTTCTATATTCTAATTATTTTTGGTTTTGTTTTTATTCAATGTAAATGTCCTTAATAAAATATATTGTTTCTAAAATTGCTCGTATCTATGTTATACAATGGAGAGGTATGTAATTAATTTGTTATCGTTTCGGTGTTTTGGAAACATTTCGTGTCTGAAACTCGAAGACCTGCCAGACACTTCCCGTTTTGCAATTTCTAAAAAGTTTGAAACATGTTTGAATAGCAAATTTTTAAATATTTTTGTTGCTTTCCAAATTATTTACATGATTTATGTTGATATAGTTGATAGTAAAATTTATTTTAAATATGTTTGTATAAAAATATATAAATAGAAACTTATATATGTTTATATAAAATATTTATAAATATACCTCTATACTTTTAATATTTACAAATTTCCCACAAGTCCACGTATCCCCATTTTTTGAATGACTTTGAGTCAGACTTAGACTTAAGAAAGAGTCAGAGAGTTCGAGTACTTGAGATTTCAGCTTAGCTCGCACCCCCATATAGACTTTTTTCAAATCCCCATCCTTGCTTCATAGGGCAGCTAGCTGACAAGGTTTGGAGAGGATCACATTCACGAGAGAAATGAAATTCATTGTTCTAAATGACCCCAACGATCTTCGACATCTTCTACCAGGATTCATGCTTCGATAGCCGGCTGCCTGATTGATGATTCTGGAAGAGAGGTTCTTGGGATTTCTGTTGGAATTTTCATAATTTCCAATAATTAATATTGAGTAATATTAATTAAATTATGAAAAGATTAATTTCATTTATTTACTTGATCATAATCATGAAGTAGAGTGAATGAAAATTGTCTTGAGTAAATGGTTAAAGTTCAAAAGATGCGCGTTCGATGTGATCGAGTGATATGACTAGTTTGAGTTTAAGTGTCCACAAATATTACTTTTGGGGACATTTAGTAGCTAGTCAAATTATTTGAACCAAAATCCAAATAATAAAATATTTGGCCCAAACCAAATTAATTAATTGGCCCATAACCAATTAATTTTCCTACGCTTGAACTCGGTGAAAAGAACAGCACAACTTTCTGTTTCTTCTTCCAACCATTGCAACCCTCTACGAATCGATCTCTACCGCCTATAAATAAAGGCAGAATTTGGCCAATTATGTACTGAATTTAACCGGCAATTACAAGATAGTTCTTCATATTCTTCTTTTCCTTCGACAAAGTTTCGTTCGTTGTTCAAGTTCGCCGTGGGTCGAATATTCGTGCAAATATTTGACAATCGATCGTTGTACCTTGGGAGACTACCGGGAAGAGACTGTGCAGCGTTGACAGCCCGAAAATATTGTCTTAAGGGAATTGCTTTGGCAAGCCTCGATCGTTCTTTGTGTTTTTCACAATTCCTCTTTTCAACAAACAAGTAAGTATTTTTCGTTTACGCAGATTGTTATTAATTACATCAACAATTTCTAACTCGACTGTTATTGGTTCAGCAAAAGCCTTCGGTACCATGTTTGCAGCTGAGAGCGCTACGGCCTCTACCTCTGCGATGGGAGTTCCTCACCCCTTATCAATAGAGTGATTTCATGCCTCCACTTACGCGTTGATAAAGTCTCTTCCACCACACTAGTCTTATGTTGAGAAAGTCTGTTCCAATACCTCTTCAGGCAAGACCTTATTAACAAGAGAATTGATACGAGAAAAGAGACGAAGCGAGCTCTATATCTATATGGAGCAAGTCCCTTCTTCGATAGGTGGGAAATAGATCTTTCTTATGTGTTTCCCCGTATCGCCGTTTCCGTTTCCGTGCCACATACACGGAGAACGATTCAAAATTGAACCTATTCGATGAGATCATATATATGTGCAATACAAAATATTAATGGACGGCAAACTGTAAAAGATTGCCAATTAAGCTCATAAACAAAGTTAAACACATATACCATATTAAGCTCATAAACAAATTTAAACACATACATCGTATTGATAATGTAAACAAATTTAAACACATATAAACAAATTTAAATGTACAAGTCTATTATTGAAATAAAATTCAAAATGATGTTCTACGACACACAAAAAGATCATTTCGACAGTTCGTTTAGAATATAGAGATTAAACGTTCACAATCTACATGTAATTGGACTAACCATTGGTAAAAGATTGTAGCATAATATTTAAGTGATTGATCTTGATCACGGTAAACACATAGTAACTTTCGTAGTCATTATTTTGACTTATTATGCTAGCACACCCGACATGTGTTGAGCATGAGTAGGTGAAATAATTGTTTCATCGCTGATTAAATATGAAACTATATTATTTATAGTTTACAGTAAATTACTTAACCTCTTAATCCCCTAGTTAATTAACATACATATTTAATTGCCGATCTCTACTTTGATTCACAATGGGAGAAATTCCTACATTGAGTCAAATAAGCTCAGTGCGTTGGGTAGAGACACTAAGAATTAATAAGTGGTAATTAATTATCGAAAGGAATTCGCACAACTGATATTAGAGATTGATTAATAACCTTGAGTAGCTTATGAGTTTTGTTTATGTCCGAAACTCGCCCGAGTGGATTTTCTACCCGACATACTCAAATAAGTTAAGCGGGTAAGACTCAAGAGAATTATTCAAGTTAATTTTTTTAGTGAATAAATTAATTGGTGGTTATTTGAATATCTTAATGCGTGGAGAATTTAAGTAATGATAAACGGGAGATCGATATATAATTTGAGAATATAATTGGGAGCCAGTAATTATTTGGTAGTGGGAAATAAATAATTATTTAATATTTAATTATTAAAATATATAATAAATTCTTTTTAGAATTTGAATTAAATTAATTATTAAATTGTCCGTATTATGTTTTTTCCTTTAGTCCCTATTGTAGTCCATGGATAATCTAATTAATTGAGAAAATAAAATTAATCATGTATTATATTGTGGAATTAATATAATCGAAAATCTGGTCTCCCAAGGACTAGAATTTTCGGCTATATAGATGGGAAGTATGAGATTTGTTTACATGTATTCATTTCCTTGAGGGACTCTAATTCCATGTGTTAATATATAGGGATTATTAGTGAGAAACCTCACTCATTGTGTATAATAAAACTCAATTCGACCCCTTTTATATTATTAGTGAAACTCCTCTAGTTATTTAATTATATAAATATTTGATAACTGAAAATGAAATATTCCTAATTTACCCTCACATGTCATATTATTATTATTTTTATGATATGTGATTGCGTGAAACCATATTTCTCTCTTCCCTTCTCCATTTTCTCTCCATCAGCCAACATTCTCCACTTTTCCACCATAGTTTGAATATTATTCTTCTTCCACCGCTTTGTGCCTCAGCCACCGGAATCCACCTCCTTTGTCGCCGCTCTCCACTACCACCGCCCTACATCCGCCGAATTGGTTAGAAATGTTAGGGTTCCGAATTACACCATTAGAGAGACTCCTCCAAGTCACCATCACCGCCTTCCACCTCGCCGCCGCCATTTCCCTATCACCTCTGGCCGTTGCGCTCTCCGTTGTTTGCCCCATCTCCTCCCTTACAGAAATTCAAATTACAAAAGAAAACCAATGTCTCACTTTTTTTTCTATTAAGAATTCGCAATTTAATTGATTTTCAATTTTGTGTTAGTCTGTAGTGTGTTTGTGAAAGGTTTTAGCAAATGAATTGAAGCTTACTTTGGGGCAGGTTTGTATTGTTTCAAAGGCTATTTTTTTTCAACGAATGGCAGAGTGAATGTTTGTTGTGGAAATTGTGTTGATGTTGCATACAGAAATATAGTTGTTTTCGTTACTGCTGTGGTTGTTTTCGATATTTTATAGTTGATTTCAACAATTTTATATGTTTCTTTTTTTTTTTTTTTACTTGATTTCGTTAATTTTTTAGTTGATTTTATTTAGTAAACCTGTGATAGAAAACTACTATTTTTGTAGTTGGTTTACAATTTTCTTATAGTTGATTTCAACAATTTTATATGTTTTTTTATTTTTTATACTTGAGTTCGTTAAATTTTTAGTTGATTTTATTTAGTAGGCATGTGATAGAAAACTACTATTTTTGTAATTATTCTACAATTTTCTTATAGTTTATTCAAGGAAATAACGAAAAAAAAAATTGTGTTCAGTAATTTTGTAGGTGATTATGAAAAAAAATATACCAAAAATGTGAGAAAATAAAAGTGAAATTGTAGTTGATTTCGAAAAAAATTTAGTTGTTTTCGAAAATTTTGTAGTTGATTTGAAAATCCAAAAACTGAAAATTAAAAATAAAATTAAATGATTAAAAATATATATATTATTTTAAAATTAAACAAATAATTGAAAATTATAATTAAAAGTAATTAAAAAGATATTAAAGTAGGTAGTGAATAGTAGGGATTTGTGATCTCCAAACGGAACTTGGCAAACTTTATGGCGATAATGATGACTATTGGCGTCAACGAAGTAAAGTGCATTGGATTAGGGAAGGGGACAGGAATACAAAGTTTTTCCATGCACATGCATCGACTAGGCAGAGGGTTAACCGAGTCCTAAAGTTGAAAGATCAACTCGGGATTCGGCGAGAGCAGGAAACGGACATTGAAAGGATTATTGCGCATTATTTTGAGCATATTTTTCGTACGACAAACCCGGACGAAAACGAGATAGATGAGGTGTTGGAGCAGGTGAACCCGAGAGTTACTAGTGACATTAATCAGTTGCTTTCAGCCCCTTTACGGCAATAGAGGTACATCACGCCATTTCCCATATGGCCCCTCTTAAATGTCCTGGCCCTGACGGCCTTCCTGTCTTGTTCTTTACTAAGTATTGATATATTATAGGGTCTAGTGTCACTTCTTGTGTGCTTGATTTTTTGAATAATAAGAAACTCCCCCGTCACTCAATTTCACATTCATTGTTCTTATTCCCAAGGTTGGTCTTTCTGAAAAAATTACCGACTATAGACCCATTAGCCTCTGCAATGTAGTGTACAAGATAGGGTCTAAAGTCATTGCCAACCGGCTCAAACGATTCTTGAATGACATTATCTCTCCCTCGCAGTCTGCCTTTGTCCCAAAACGTCTTATTACAGACAATGTTCTAGTTGCCTTTGAAGTTAATCACTTCATTAAATCTAGCATTAGTAGTCGGATAGACTATATGGCAGTTAAACTTGACATTAGCAAAGCTTACGATCGGATTGAATGGATATTTTTGAAAAAAGTTCTTATCCGTTTTGGTTTCTCGCTTGATTTTGTTGATCTTATAATGCTTTGTGTTTCATCCGTCTCTTACGCTTTCTTGTTTAATGGCTCACAGTTCGGATCCCTTTCACCGACTCGAGGCTTTCGCCAAGGCGACCCTCTTTCCCCATATTTGTTTATTTGTTGTGCAGAGGTTCTAATTGCTATGATTCAGAGATCAGTTGATGTGGGGGCGCTTCATGGTGTTCAGATTGCCCCGACAGCTCCTATTATCTCCAACTTGTGCTTTGCCGATGACACACTTTTGTTTTGCCGTGCTACAGATGGTGATTCCCAGACCCTGAAAACGATTCTTGATCAGTATGCACGAGTCTCGGGCCAAGAGATAAATTTTGAGAAGAATACTATGTGCTTCAGTCCATGTACCTTCCCGATGACTAAGGAGACCATTCACGACTTGCTGGGCTTTCAGGTGGTTGATAGTCACGAGAAGTATTTGGGGATGCCAGCATCTCAGGGCAGATCCAAAAAAGAAATTTTTCGCTTTCTTAGGGATCGTCTATGGGCCAAGATTAAAGGATGGGGGGCGAAACAGTTGTCTCAAGCGGGCAAAGAAGTGATGATTAAGGCTGTGCTACAAGCCATACCCTCGTACATGATGAGTTGTTTTGCGCTTCCGGTCGGCTTACTCAATGAATTGGAATCCGTTATTCAGAGGTTTTGGTGGGGCGGTGGATCGCAACGTAAGATGGCATGGGTTACTTGGAAGAAACTTTGTTTGCCTAAATCAAGTGCGGGAATGGGATTTCGGGATTTGAGGAGCTTCAACTATGCTCTCTTAGCAAAACAACTTTGGCGGATTCTTACCCAGCCGGACACACTTCTTGCAAAGATTATCAAGGCCCGCTATTTTCCGAATAGCGATATCTTTTGGGCTACAACTGGCACACAACCATCTGCCACGTGGAGAAGTCTCCTCAAATCATGCCCTCACTTCATCTCTGGGCTCCGACGAAGAATCGGAGATGGTAAAGATACGGCCATATGGGGGGACCCGTGGCTCGGTGATGATGGTAACTTTAAAGTTTTGACGAAGAGACCGTTCTCGACGAGCTATCCTAATACTGTAGCGGATCTTATCGACTCGGACTCGCAATCGTGGAAGATGGGATTAGTTGAGGAGGTTTTCTGGCCAGTGGATCAGGAGAGAGTTTTGAGAACCCCAATTGGTAGCAGTTCGGTACATGACAGGTGGATTTGGCATTATACTCAGACTGGTTTCTTTACGGTCCGGTCGTGCTATCACAATATCATAGCACAAGATCAGACTGTAGGTGGGAATCGTGGAGATGTTAGTTGATCGAGTAGCGGCGGGACGAAACATTACTGGAAACATATATGGGGACTGCCCATTCCACCGAAGATTCGCCACTTTTTGTGGCGGGCGTCACTGGAATTTTACGCACAAATGCGGAATTATTTAGACGGAAAATAGCACCAGCCCCAATTTGCTTTAGGTGCGGCGCTGCGAGGGAGTCAACCATGCACGTGTTCCAAATTTGCAGCGGAATGGGTGCTATCTGGCGAGCACCCCCATTTCTCCTTTTGACATTCGATCCAGGCATCTCAATGTGGAAATGGCTGGAACATTTGCGCAATAAGCTGAGCGATGAGCTATTTCTATTGGCCGTGATCATATGCTGGAAGGCGTGGGAGATACGAAATAGGGAGATCCATGACGAAGATTGTCTTAAAACGGAAGAGCTAGTTACCTGGTGCAATTTGTATCTCTACAAATTTCAACAGGCCCAAATCCCAAGATTACCGGCTACAGGCAGACATTTTCAGACTCAATGGAATCCTCCTCCGGACGGTTTTATTAAGATCAACTTTGATACGGCGGTTCCTCAAGGAGAGAGCTTTTACTCAGTTTCAATGGTTGCGCGCGATAGAGAAGGGGAGTGTCGTTGGTGGGTGGTTCGTCGATATCCAGGACATCCTAGAGAGGTTGATTGTGAGGCGCATGCGGCCCTTGAAGCCATCAACATTGCCAAAACTCAAGGGTGGACCTCGATCATATTGGAGGGCGATTGTCTACAGGTTATTCAAGCGTTAAACTCCGGCGAGCCTCTTTTGTCGTCGTTTGGTGCTTTTCTAGAAGAAGTTTTATCGATTGCTAAGAGTTTTGTTCGTTGTAATTTTTGTTTTATCAAGCGAAGTGGGAACCAATTGGCACATGACATTGCCACTAAACTTGGTTCGGTTTGTAGAGAAGGTTTTTCCCTTCCGCATGGTCTGGCTTGTGCCTAAATAAAATGTAACGCCCCACAACCTAACAGCAGAATCCAATCGGATCACCACCATTAAGTTAGGGATGCTACCCTTTTTTGAAACACTTAAACATTATGGTTTTAATACAAAAATACATAATATGCTTTGAAAAGAAATCAAACTTTGTACTTTCTCAAAATCTGTACATATATATATATATATATATATATATATATATAATATTTACAAAATTACATTGTACAAAAACCATAATAGAGCGGCTAACAAAATTAAATCAGAGTTTCTAGCTCGGCTACAAAAATGGCTCGAAGCATGACATATGAACAAATCTCTATCTGGCCGCTCTTGGCTAGGTCAACTTCTAAACATGTACATCATTACCTGCATCATAAAAACCTAATGAGCTAATGGCTCAGCAAGTTGAAACGGATGTAATTGCAGTATATCACATAACACGTTATTCATTCAATATGTACAATATCACATATAACTTCATTCGTGATCCTTTTTCTTTGAAATCTTTCTCTTTATCGGGTACCCTTGAAGTGTGGTACTTGACTGATAGCAATAGGCTTTTGTTTTCGGAACCTGTTTATCATATTTGGCCAATAGGTAATACGGGGTTTCCATACCGGCCTTTTGGACCTCAGGTATTAGCCGTATTTAATTTCTTTAATTGTGGGTTTTCCATACTGGTCTTTCGACCTCAGGTATTTGCCACCATGTGTTGGGTCCGCCGGTTCCTCCCGCGTCCCTTGCCTACTCGACCATCAATCAAGTACCATACTCCCATTTTCAAAACATATTCTTTCATATCGCTATGACTTATCAATCATTCAAACATCATGAAGAACACGTAGCAAAAGTCACATTAAAGCACACATAATTAGGTTCTTATGATGAGCAAATGAAAGCTTCAACTTACCTCAAAATCAATATGGTTTATGAAGTGAAAGTATCAGTCTTAGATAAGGTGTGCTAGAAGCCTTGATTAGAGATGAATTCAAACTTAAAAACATAGGATTTTCAGCTAGAAAAGGTGAAGAACTTGTTCTAGCTATACTTCTATGAGTTCTTAGGGTTTGATATTCTCTTATGTGAATATAGAAGTGAAGAAATAAGAAGAGAAGCTTAAGTGAATAGGTCTGGTCGTTTTTGGAAGAAGACAAGTGAAAATGAAGACCAAAACACAAAGTCTTCACTTATCTACCCATTCCCAACAAGGCCAAATGGAGGATGATGATTGGAAGGCTTATATTTGATGGATTCTTGTGGTTCCTCCACGTTTTTACAGCTTGAGATGAGATAGGGAGCTGATGTTTACTCATTATAATCAAGTGTAAACAAAATCAGAATGGTCTTGTGCAACCTAGTCAACCAACCAATCAAATTGCACCCTTTTGCATACTTTTGGTTTTAGTCTAATATGAGTTACTTCAAGTAATTACATATGTAATTAATCATATTAAAATGTAATTAAAATGCAGAACTGCAATTAACACAAATATAACAGCGTTTAGCACATTGATCCCTTCTTAACTGAGAAACTGAGCTTCTCACTACAAGAAATCACTTAAGTTCATGTTAAATCATAAAATAGAAGTTCAATAACATGTATCATGTATTAGCACATTTTAAGAAAAGTATTTGATCACGTATTATAACACAATTAAGGCACATGTGTAGCAAGTAGTCGCGATCATGCATCATGAATAATGAATTCTAACTATATGCATTGATGCAATATGCTTATTATTGGCCATGTATGGATTGATTGGGCATTACAATTCTTCCCTCCTTATAAAATTTCGCCCTCGAAATTTGACGTACCGAACAATTCTGGATATTTGCTATGCATTTCTTCCTCTCTTTCCCACGTGGCTTCTTCAATAGATTGATTTCTCCACAATATCTTAACTAATGGAATCTTTTTATTTCTCTGCTCCTTGACTTTTCTATCAATAATTTGAATTTTTTTCTCCTCATAAGACAAATCTGCAGAAAACTCCAACGGTTCATAACTCAACACATGAGAGGGATTTGAAATGTACTTCTTCAACATAGACACATGGAAAACATTGTGAACACAAGATAAGGAAGGAGGTAAGGCTACTCTATATGCTCTATCACCAACTCTTTCAAGGATTTCAAACGGACCAACATATCTTGGACTAAGTTTTCCTTTCTTTCCAAATCTCATGATGCCTTTCAATGGAGCCACTTTCAAAAATACTTGGTCGCCAACCGTAAACTCTAGATCTCTTCTTCGTTTATCTGCATAACTTTTCTGTCTACTCTGTGCCGTCTTCATTATTTCCCTTATCTTCTGCACCGTCTCAGCAGTATGTTGCACCATCTCTGGCCCAAGTAGACTTATTTCGCCAACTTCATCCCAATGAACTGGAGATCTACATTTTCTCCCATATAGTGCTTCATAAGGTGCCATTCCAATTGTAGATTGATAGTTGTTATTGTAAGTGAACTCTACCAACGGAATTTTTCATCCCAACTCCCTTTCAAATCTAGAACACAAGCTCTTAACATATCCTCAAGTATTTGAATAACTCTCTCGGGTTGTCCATCAGTCTGTGGATGAAATGTTGAACTAAATGCAAGCTTCGTCCCCATGGCATTGTGCAAACTCTTCCAAAATGCAGAAGTAAACTTCGGATCTCTATCAGACACTATTGACACTGGCACTCCATGCAATCTCACTACCTCTTTAATATATTGTTGTGCATATTGCTCCATGTTGAATGTGGACTTCACTGGAAAAAAATGGGCTGATTTAGTTAGTCTATCAACAATCACCCATATGGAATTGTATCCCCTTTGTGTTCTAGGCAATCCAAGCACAAAATCCATTGTAATATGCTCCCATTTCCACTCTGGAATCAGTAAAGGTTTCAATAGTCCTGCTGGTCTTTGATGTTCCATTTTAACTTCTTGACAAGTGAGGCATTCAGCCACAAACTTTGCTATATCTTTCTTCATGTTAGGCCACCAGTAGTGTAGTTGTAAGTCTTTGTACATTTTTGTGTTGCCCGGGTGCACTGAGTAAGGACTTCAGTGAGCTTCTTCCAAAATGTCGCCCTTTATGTTAGCATCAAAAGGAACACACAATCTGCCTTTATATCTAATTATTTCATCGTTACCAATAGAGAAGTTAGGCCTCTTCTTAGTATCAATCATACTTCGCAACCTGGACAAATACTTATCCACTTTCTGAGCCTCTTTGATTCGGTCATGAAGTACGGGTTTTAATACTAAAGATGATAAGGAACTAACCATCCCTTTAGGTACAATTTCAAGCTCTAATTTTTTTAAATCGAGTAGTATTGGTTTCTGTATAACAAGGAAGGAAGACATAGATTTTCGACTCAATGCATCTGCAACTACATTAGCTTTACCAGGATGATAGTTAATCACACAGTCATAATCCTTTACAAGTTCTAACCATCTTCGTTGTCTCATATTCAATTCTTTCTGAGTGAAGAAGTACTTCAAGCTCTTGTGATCCGTGTAAATCTCACATTTCTCACCATATAGGTAATGCCTCCAAAATTTCAAGGCAAACACAACGGCAACAAGCTCTAAATCATGAGTTGGGTAATTCTTCTCATACTCCTTCAATTGTCTTGAAGCATAGGCGATAACATTCCCATGTTGCATCAATACAACACACAATCCATTTTTTGAAGCATCACTATACACTACGAATCCACCAGTTCCAGAAGGAATGACGAGAACATGAGCTGTAGTCAATCTCCGTTTCAACTCTTGAAAGCTACTTTCACATGCATCATTCCATACATACTTCACGTTCTTTCGTGTAAGCATTGTTAATGGAGTTGCTATCTTGGAAAATCCTTGAACAAATCTTCGATAATATCCTGCCAATCCTAAGAAACTTCTAACCTCTGATACAGTTGTTGGTGTCGGCCAATTTTTGGCAGCTTCTATCTTACTCGGGTCGACAGAAATACCATTCTTGGACACGACATGCCCTAGGAATACAACTTGATCAAGCCAAAACTCGCGCTTCTGAAATTTAGCATATAGTTGCCTTTCTTTCAATATTTGCAACACCACTCTCAAATGTTCTCTATGTTCGTCTTTATCATGGGAGTAGATCAAGATATCATCAATGAACACAATCACAAATTTGTCGAGGAACTCCTTGAACACCCTATTCATTAAATCCATAAAAGCTGCGGGGGCATTTGTTAAGCCAAAGGGCATGACTAGAAATTCATAATGTCCGTACCTTGTTCTAAATGCAGTCTTTTGTATGTCATCCTCCTTTATTTTTAATTGAAGATACCCGGAGCGTTAATCGATCTTTGAAAATATTGATGCTCCTTGCAATTGATCAAACAAATCATCTATTCTGGGTAGTGGATATTTGTTCTTGATTGTAAGTTTGTTCAGTTCTCTATAATCGATGCATAAACGTAATGTACCATCTTTCTTTTTCACAAACAAAACCGGTGCTCCCCAAGGAGAATAACTCGGCCGAATAAGACCTTTATGCAACAAGTCTTGTAGTTGAATCTTCAACTCTTTTAGTTATGTTGGTGCCATTCTGTATGGAGCTTTAGAAATGGGAGTACTTCCGGGCAACGTATCAATAACAAATTCAATTTCACAATCCGGTGGCAGTCCTGGTAAGTCATCTGGAAATACCTCAAGAAATTGATCAACCACATCCACATCTTGGGGTTTCAATTGTGTTCCTACTGAAGTGTCCATAACATTAGCCAAGTATCCAACACAACCCTTACTCATCATCTTTTGAGCCTTCAATGCAGCTATAAATGGTATTGAAGATGAAAGTGAATGACTACCAAACTCGAAATGTTCTTCACCAGGTGGCCGGAAGATGACAACCTTCCGATTAATCGTTGCATAATATTTTGTAAGCCAATCCATGCCCAAAATAGTCTCAAAATTTGCGACCGGTAAAACAACTAGATCCGCACAAAGTGTTCTACCACTTATCTGAATAGAACCATGTT